GACGGTGGTCTAGAAGGTTCGAGCATTCGGATAGCAACCGCGGGGCCCAGGTTCGAGCCTACCTACATCCCGGCACGTTTTTCTCCGGACATGCGCGTGACGTCACGGCCGCCCGCCATCTTGCCCATAGAATCAAACAATTATGGGGAGGAGGGAGGGTATCAATAAAGAGGGGGTATCATCAATAGGGATATAGGATATCAATAAATAGGGGGGGTATTAATTATAATATTTCATTAAAAAGGTCAGGTTCGAAAAGATTTCATTAAAAAGGTCAAGTTCAAAAAGATTTCATTAAAAAGGTCAGGTTCAAAAAGATTTCATTAAAAAGGTCAGGTTCAAAAAGATTTCATTAAAAAAAGTTTTTGAAAATTCATTTTAAAAAGTGGGTTAGAACTCGCCTTGTTTTACTACTGCCAAACTTTACGCGATTATTACTAAAAAACTATACGAGATGTCACTAAATGGAACAGGACTTTTTCGTTCCTATCGTTTAGCTCTACGCTCCTATGGAGTTGGTGTATTACAATTATGAGATACCCTATATAGACACACATACATACACATATATACATATCCCAGGCAGAACAGAAAATCATGATGACATCAAAATGACGTCAAAATGATGAGGAAAACTTATTTTTTCATTCTGATTCAATCATTTTCAAACAATAAAAGCATTTTCTCTGCAATTTATTTTTTATTTTCTATTTGAAGTGTACAACAAATTCCATTAGCACTGTCTCATTCTCTCACACAATATTTTAAAATTTCTTTCTGGTTAGATGCATTATTGAAATATTTATATAGAATGACTGTAAATTATTTGACGGTGTGCTGAACAGGTAATTTATTTGCTTATTATAATATCTTCGAATGTACTCACTTGTTTGCAAAATGGTTTTCCCATGTATTTTCGATGCAGTTTCGATGAACAGCGCAACTATTAATTCAATGAATCTTTAAAAGAAATAGGTGGACCATTGGTAGCGCTCTGAGTTGTTGAGTGCACCACTCAATAAAAATATAACAATACTACGTTTGTATTAAAATGACACGAAGTTTAACGAATGCTTTGTGAAAAATCACCGTAAATGGACGAAAAAACAGTGTACAGTTATAGCGTACAGTTTAGGAAATCCATTCTTTGCCAGCAACGTGGATAGAATCAAATTGGAGAAAGAGTAAACTTTCTTCTTGCCGATTTATGCGGTGATAGCAAAGTATGCAGCAAATGCATTATGCATGTAGTGCAGTGGTATTCTACATGCATGAAAAATGAAAAATGATTAATGAAGTAATTATTAGTAATTAAATAACTAATCAGAGCTTAAACAGATGTACTGTGTCGTGTATATAAATGGTTTTACTAAAAAAGAATATGTAAGCCCACATTACTACTCGAAGGAAACCGCGAAAAGGTCGTGGTTTCTTCCATCAGGAGAAAATGATAAACAAATGTCGAATAAGTCACTTATAAAATGGAATTATTTGATATTGGTTTATATTTCCTAATAAGGAATGATAGGATGTAAGGAAAGGAAGAAGCAAATATAAAGGGAATATCGTGCATAATATCGTGCAAGCGTTAAACAAAGCAGAAACAAAACAAACAAAAGAGAAAATGTGATATTAAAATATACAAAAGCAATTACAGCTACAGTATTTACAGTTGCAATAATGCATGCATTTGCACAATATTTTAATGAAAAATCTTTCACACAGTGGAAAGCGAGATTTAACGCATAAATTTGCCTTTCTCTGCCAACTTCTTACTAAACATCAAGTATCAGTTACGTATTATCTATTTTAGAATGTCACACATTCAATCATATAAATACATGATATTCTATATAACACATGGTATTATGTAGCATTTACATGATTGAGAGTTTATTCTAACAGAGAGCACGTTCTAACATAGAATGTATGTAAATGATACTTGTTGTTTATTGGGTTAACTCGTACATATGGAATGTGTAAATAATCGCTGGTAAGTACTAGCACCGTGCCCAGTTTACTGCCCTGCGTCATTTGGAAATAACTCTGCAAATATGTTAGAATAATGGAGCATACTTAAAATCGTGAAATTTCAATTTGTAATTTCTCCTAAATGCTTGAGTTGTTATGTCCACGTAACTTTAAACAACATTTCTAAATTCGATCATAAAATTAATTCAACAATAACGTTTAGATCGGATTTTTGGCCACTTGATCCTCAATCTAAACGTAATAAATACGACACCGAATGCTTCTTCATCGGAGAAAATTAAAAGAACAATAGATAGATAATAAATACCATGACCACGATTATTGATTATCACTCTTATCATGAGAAACATCTTTCCCCTACTACTAATAAGGTGGTAAAAACTCGCACTGGGATATCTCGCCACCTGCCTATAAAAGGCGACGCGCAAACCAGTGGAGCGACTCATTTTTGCATCAAATCATTTCACGGACTCATTATCATAAAATCATTTCACAACTCAATTTCTTAAAATGTGTCCACACACAGAAAAAACATTCTTAACACTCTGATCAATTGACACTCAACTGCAAAAAGGTAAAAATTAAAGATTCGATATTTAAACATTCGTCTCCTCAGATTAAGTCCTAAATATCCTTCTTCATTCCGATTTAAAATATAATTCACACAAACTAGTCCGTCCCGAGATAAATTAGTTAAATCTATTGACCTCAAAAAGGACTAACACATATACATTCACGATTCACGACGTAACAGAGTGTTGCATCGTCTCCGGTTAACAGTAGCTTTTGCTGGACCTATACTACATTTCTGCCAAAGCTCACCAAAATCAGTGACCCCAAGTTTGGCAGCAGCCCTTATCAGATTATAGCCCAGAAAGAATTAGGGCCAAAGCACAGACTTCTGCATAACGTATAATACACAACGCATAAGAGAATCAACCAATCAGAGTTCTTCATTTCTGTCCTGAGGAGGGAAATGAAGAAAACTAATTGGTTTATTTTCTTATGTGTTATGTATTATGTGTTATGCAAAAGCCTGTGCTCTTGCCCTTAGCCTCGGCGTCACTGAGCGAGAACGAGAGCGAGAAAGAGGGAAAAATATTCTCGCTCGCGTCGTTGAGCGAACACCAGAGTGAGAAGGAGGAAATGATATCTTTCTGTCGCTCAGCGCGCCGACGATTGCCGAGTGGTCCACACGGATAGACTGAGCCGGCTATGTGTGCGTGCGTGGTGGGAGAAATCAGAAAAGAGTCGTGGATATTGGCATCGCAGTTCATGTGCACGGTTGTGCAGAGGGCGCCTCACTCTGGGCTCGGCTAGAATCCCTATAGTAAGAGTCTGGCCAATGTTTTAGTTGGATACAAAATGGCTACTACACCTGTACTGCACCTACTGTAATCTCGGTTTTTACGCGTGCACATGCAAATGATAACATAACATCATTTCATCTTGGAAAAAACTTCCAACACAATAAGAGGACTATATATAAAAATATTTATAAAAATATTTAAAAAATGATTAGTTGTTGCATACCGGGATGCAGAAATAGAAGCGAAAATGGCTTCTATATGAAACATTTTCCAATAAATAAAAAACAAAAAATTATATGGTTGAAACAAATTGGAAGAGAAAACTGGAAACTGAAACAATATTCAGCAATTTGTGAGGTAAGCGTGTAATTATATTAAATAATAAACAAAACATGTTTCTCATCTAATTGTATTTGTAGGTTCATTTTACTAAAGAAATGTGGGAAAAACCGCAACAGGATGGTTCCAAAAAATTAAAAACACAAGCAATGCCAATAAGTTTTCCTCATACAAAAGTAATGTCGGAATCTTTCGATGGAAAAATAAAGAAGTTAAAATATAATAAAAACAACAATGAAAATAATTAAATTATTATTAATAAATATTATTATTAAAATGTTATCGCGTAAAAACATTATTTTTTGTTAACGATACGACGTTTAATTATTTCTTAGAAATGAATTATGTAATTGTACATTATTTGCCTTATATTAAGCAAAGCAATTATAACATTGTTAATTCCCTTATTAAAAAAATGAAAGATATTGAATGTACTGCATTAAAAACATGTCACAATTTATCCTACAAAATTAAAATTCGTTTCATTAATTTTAAAATAAGAAAAAGTTGTCATACTGGAAAATTAGAAAAACCTGTTTTTAATAGTAAAACCATGGCTATGCATTCCGTTATTAGATAAAATTTAATAATCATGTTATTACATATGTAATATTTTTTTAACTTTATGTAATATCAAAATTTAATAATAAAAAAATTGCAAAAATGTATTTTAATTTTCCTTTTCCTGTTACTGCTATTCAAATATCCCGCATACTTTGCTATCACTAATTGGTGGCGCCATTTCGTATCCAGCCAATCAAAAATTGGACTACACAAACATTGGCCAGACTCTTACTATAGGGATTCTAGGTTTGGCTAAAAGCGGCCCGTGACCTCTCTCCTTCTTCTCTCTGGTTATACTATAAAAGTCTATGCCCATAACACCTCTCTTTTTTCTCTCTAGATAGTATTGCAAAAACTCCCTAGTATCTCGTCGGTGCCGAGGTCCGTAAATATAGAGAGACGGAGAATCAGGTCCTCTCATCCACTTCACACGGTTTGGCTCGAAAATGGCGGCGACCGTGGCTCAGCTGATTAACCACTCACACAATTAAACTATAATACTACACATACATAGTATTACGTACACTGACAGATTCTCTAGCTCCAAAATGGCGGCCCTTCAAAATGAGAGGACCTGATTTCGTTCTGTCTCTATTTACGGACCTTAGTCTTTATTAGTGTCTTGTCGATATTATTGCTTACGCGCCACACCGAACGTTTGAAAAAGCCGCTTTTGTATATATATATATACATATATATAAACATGAGTTCAGTGGTCGGAATATATTACGCCTCTCCATAAGAGGTCTCTATAGTCCCTCATGTATATCTTAAAAACTTATCAGAGTTGCCGCTCTGGGTTGTTTATGCGCTTGGTTTCGTAATTGTATCTACTGACGATGTATATATTTCTCACCTAAATGTGCTCGAGAACGAATTATGGCATTGTCTCTTGTCAGAGCTAAGGCACTGCACGGAAATTCGCATTCACGTTTCTTCGCTAGCATATCGACCATGAAGGTAATCGTGAGAACTTGCTCGCATTTCTTTTACTGATTAATTCGGCATGTTTGCTTTACGAAACGACAAAACGCAAAATTTTCGCTGAGTTTTGGGAAAAGTCTAGTATTACAATGAATATCGATACATCCAATTTCTGTGTCCGTATCTGCATCATTCTGAGCACGAGTGTAATACGTTAACGCAATTTCTTGCAAATAGCAATTGTCCTTTACTGAATTAACGTCAATATTTGTTTCAAATTATTAGAGGTGCTAATTTGTTGGAAATATAATCTGAGGAAGATAAATACTTACATAAGGAAACTCTCTCAGATTGTATTTGAACATTTGGATTTTTGCATTCTTTTACAGAAGGGATTGGTGCTTGGTGTGTACGAGACTGATGACGAGAACAAAGTTGCACTCACTTCGACAGCAGCCAAATATAATGAGCTTGTTAAAGGCCAATTGTGGAAATACATCCTGCTGTAAGTTACAGTCATTATTATTACTTACTATTAGTACTTAATGATATTTTTCTATTTTTATGTGATTTTAGATGTTACATTTAGATATTGCATTACAGTGTACATTACTTTCTAACATTATCCTAGTATGCTGTTTTAGAATATACCAAGACAAAAGTTCATCTATATTTAAATATATAAATGAATTAAAAACTAAAGAATCATTCTCTTCTCTGTATTAAGCTGTTCTTGCTATCAGTTAATGCTCTTTTGTACATCTGATAGCTATAGAGATAGCTATAGAGATCCTTACACATATAAAAATGTTTTGTTATAAAAAGGTACCATTCTAAATATCAGTTGGTTTCATAAGATATAATTAATATGCTAGGGTCTTCAACATGTAGACAATTAACTGAATTAATTTGCAACATACCCAAATACTAACAAAATATTACATTTGTACAAAAGTCTGCAACAATTCATAATGACCCAATTCCTGGATGCAATTGTTTCTAATAAGTGTATGTATAGAGAGGGTGGCAGGAAGAGGGGGAGAGAGAGAGAGAGAAATATGGAACTATATATATTCAAGAAAGCTTTTACAGTCTATTATAAAGAGTCTACTTAGTATCGCGCTTTATCGCACATTATGCTCCCTTTCACTTTTTTTATTATACAATAATATAATGATATGTTTATTAAATATTTTATTCATATTTCCAGCCTGAAACAATTGTTATAATGCTGCCTGAGCTTTATCTGACACATTTAAAAGTGCTTTTTCTTTGTTATTTTAAAATTCATATATAAAGTATTTTTTGTTTTTGAAAATTTTGAATTTTTGAGCGATATTTTATATCTTATGCGAGCTCACTGGCATTATTTTGATTGTTTCAGGAGTGACTAGACTGAGAGACGGTATTGTACACATGATATGAAGCACAAATTGCTCGGCACAAGGATTTCCTAGAAACACGCTGCACATTATAAGTGAAAATATAATACTGCCTATTCTATGATAAATATTTTTTCTCGCTTGACGACTCGAATGCGCTCATTAGGGATATTCCCATGTTTGAATTGAAAGTGCTACAGTGAACTTATACTTTTATGTTGATTTAATTATATTATTTTACTTCAAGAAACTAACTAAAATCAAATAAGATATATTAGTAATGTCGGCTCTTGGCGACGGTAACATGGGGAACGATAGCAGCGCAGGGAGCAGTGGTGGATTAGGCGAAGGTAGCGGTAAGACAAGCAAACAGCAACAACAACCGGCAAATATGTTACAAAGAATCACCGGTATATTGGAGGATAAGAGTAATGATTACTTGTGTCCGATTTGTTTCGACCTTATCGACGAGGCACATATCACACGTTGCGGACATACATTTTGTTACAGTTGTATCGTGAAGTCATTAGAAACCAAAGACCGTTGCCCAAAATGTAGTTTCACGTTGAGCAAACAGGATATTTTCCCGAATTTCCTATTGCACGAGCTAATATTAAAGTATAAAATAAGAAGCAAAGGTCTCTCGCAGATAGGCTCTTACGCAACGGATGGTAGACGCAAATCAGCAGGTACCGATTCGCTGTCATCTGCGTGTGACGGTTTGAGAAACATCGTGGCTGCGGAAAGTGCTAATCTCACTCTACCCGACGTGAATGTAATGTTAGAGGTGTTGACTCAACGGAAGCATCTGCTTGAAGCGGAGACCTGTACGGCGCAGAATAAACTGCTGCACGAATTTCTGAAACATTTGCTGCAACAGAAGGAGGAACAGAAGAATCAGTTGCAAAAGGAGGTAGCGCTGATCAAGAGAGACATGGAAGAAGTGGAGAACATTTTGAAGGACGTTCAGAACAAATGTCCGCGAGTAGAGGATCTGAAGAAAGTCAGCGAGCATGAAACTGCGCAGGTGTCCGCTATTAGAAAAGAGATGCTCGGCCTTATAGATATAATAGACTCAAATATGGTGAAACCTAGCGATAAGGCGGTCGGCATGACCGACACTTTCTTCGCGAATCATCCGGGCGGGTCCGCTCAGAAACAGAACGAATATCATCCGGGTGGTTCGACCTTGGCCATACGACGGAAAAGGTTGCACGCGCACTTCGACGATTTTGTGCAATGCTATTTCGATTCGCGCGGTAAAGAGCTACTGCTCGGCCAGAAATCGCAGTTATCGCAAAATGAAGCGCAAGCGCAGCACGGCGGTGCGCACAGTACGAGTTCTGGCTTGGATGTGTTTCGTGAGAATCTTGTCAAATTCTCGCGGTATAATTCCCTGCGGTCGCTGGCTACGCTAAATTACTCGTCGGATATCTTTAACAATTCCACCATTGTATCTAGCATCGAGTTTGACAAAGACAACGAGTTCTTCGCGATTGCCGGTGTCACTAAGCGCATCAAGGTATTCGATTACGGAGCCGTTATACGAGACACTGTAGATATTCACTATCCGTGCGTCGAAATGGTCTCGAGTTCAAAGATCTCATGTGTTTCGTGGAACTCCTTCCACAAGGGAATGTTGGCCTCTTCGGATTATGAGGGCACGGTGACTGTGTGGGACGCCACAACGGGTCAGCGCACCAAGGCATTTCAGGAACACGAAAAGCGGTGCTGGTCTGTGGACTTTAACGATGTGGACACCAAGTTGATTGCATCCGGCTCTGACGATGCTCGCGTCAAATTATGGGCACTGAATACGGATTACTCCGTGGCGTCATTGGAAGCAAAAGCCAATGTCTGTTGTGTAAAGTTCAATCCGCGCAGTTCGTGTCACTTGGCCTTTGGTTCCGCAGACCATTGTGTGCACTATTACGATCTGCGCAACATGAAGGAAGCGCTATGCATATTCAAGGGTCACCGTAAGGCTGTGTCTTACGTTAAATTCATCAACAAGGAAGAAATCGTGTCTGCCAGTACGGACTCGCAGTTGAAAATGTGGAACATTAACAATCCACTTTGTCTGCGTTCCTTTGTGGGACATGTCAACGAGAAGAACTTCGTTGGTCTTGCTACGGACGGTGATTATGTCGCTTGTGGATCGGAGAATAATGCGCTCTATGTATATTACAAAGGATTGACGAAGCAACTGTTCTCGTACAAATTTGACGCAGTGCGAAGCATATTGGAGTTACAAGACAGACGGGAAGAGGACCTGAATGAATTCGTGTCCGCAGTCTGCTGGAGGCAAATGTCCAATGTTGTGGTAGCCGCTAATTCCCAGGGAATTATCAAAATATTAGAACTTGTTTGAGACAATTAGGAAGAATTGGTCGAACAAGTGACTGAAGGAAGCTCGACTACTTTTGATTAAAAATGGTCTGAATGACCATTGCAAAAATAAAAAGACGAACCGAACGATGTAATATATGCGTGGAGTGTTATTTATGCAACATTAAAGAATTTAATAAGAATTAATAATTTTACGGGAAAGAGAAAGAATTGAATAAGAATTAAATATTTAACAGAGAAAGGGAGGTCCAACTTTGATATTTGGCCTGATTTGATGATATTTAAAACATTATATATAACGCCATAATTTTTTTCTTTTCTCCTTATTGTTTCCTTTATTTTCTTTCTTATTTTACTCTTGGACCCTTTCCATTTCCTGCTATTTATATTTTACGTTTAATGCAAAGATAAGCAACAAGAGAAATGATGGAATCATTCTAAATAGCATAATACTTTTTTTTTTCAATGGTACATAAGAGGAATTTTTTATGTAATAGATAATCTGAAAATTGTCAGGCACTGAGTGATACAAATATCGTATCCCGATAGTAAAAGAAGGTAATATGATCAGTAAATATTATGCAAGCGGTGATCTCTGCTGATTTATTTTGTACTCAATATACTGAGGAGCACGAGTATCTCCTCTATATATTGTATGTTTTACATACGTATAACACACGCACGCGCGCGCGCATACACACACAGAGAGGGGCGGGGGGAGGGGGTGTTTAGTTATATAAATATTTGGACAAATATCTCTCTCGTAATCTTATAGTCGCTGGAAATATTAATAAAGAAAGTTTGCATGATTTTTAATATGCAACAAAATACACGTTAAATCTTTGTTCTTTATAGCATGTTTTGCGTAGTAGGAAATGAAAGAAATTGAAATTTTATTGAATAAAGAATGACTGATATACATGTTGCGTACACGCGCGCGCGCGCGCGTGTGTGTATGTGTGTGTGGGCGCGCGCGCGCGCGCACAGAATGCCCATATCTACGAGCGCTTTTCCACGAGAATTTTATGCGTATTGTTTTGAAATTGGTAAAAAAAAATATCCACGTTCTCCAACCCTCTATATTAAAAAATCCCGCTGAAATTAAAAAGAATATTTTTAAGCTTTTTCCTCTCCCTCGATTATCTCTCGCAAAGTTTCCTGAGGGTAAGTGTTTCTTTTTAATTTTTTTGGCAAAAGTATATTTTGACTTTAGATTCGGATAGAAGATAGAAACATAAGACTTTTACTCTTGGAGCTTTTTCGACATTTTTTCAAATTTTCCAATTATATATTTTGGTGATAAAGTCCCTTTAATGATTACGGAAAGTCTCATGAAATTTGCACGCACAATTAATAAATTAGTAGTAAAAATAAAAAAGAATAACGAACACACAAATTCCAGTCATAAAAAGGAGGAGCTAGTCCGTGTATTATCTCAAAAACTTTCGATAAAGATGGTTGAGTGAGGCATTGTTATTTTGAGGGAAGACTATTTCAAAGATCCCCCTCTCCCGAAAATTCTTTGTTCCCAAAAATAATAGTTTAAAGAAAGGTTCTGAGGGGTCTTCCTGACAATCTGAATTTACAACCCTCTTCAAGCGACACCTCATTTTATCAGCAAATCTTACAAAATTCACATTTTTGTGACTTTTCTTCGAGAGAGGTTTCAAAAGGGGGCTTTAAGTCTGTTTGAAGAACACAGCTTTTGTAAAGGCCTTTTTAAAACAATCAGATATTGCAAATTCTAAAGACTCATATTGCTCATGGTTGAGATCGGGTTGAATGATAACTTCAGCAGTCTTTTCTTCTCATTTTAAAGTTTCTTTTACACCGGCTTACTGATTTACGCAACTCTGGATGTACTTACTCTGGTTTTTTATCTTTGGTTATTTAACTCTAGTTATTTATTCTTTATTTTGTTAAGTGACGGTTGCACCAAGAATCATATTTTCACTTTATTGAAGTATGTAAGCCTATTAATTAGTCATATCTAGTAAACGAAACATCTAACGGTTTCTTTAAACGAAGCGGTTTCATTCGGTCAAAGGAAAGACTGGGATAAAGTTCTTACACCTAATAAGGGAAATAAGAACTTGCGTCAAAGTTCAGATTCATTTATATCTAGTCAAAAGCAGAGCAATCATTATCAGTTATGCTGTCATTTGAGTCTCGTTGAGCCCTCATACAAAAGATTATCTTATCCTGGAAGTTGTCGCCATGAAGCTCTTTGCGTAATCTGGGACAAAAAGAACAAGTTTATGATCGTGAAAGTATTAGCGTAAACGATATCAATATTCCTATTTCCTATTCTAAAATTTCGATAAATATTAAATAGAATCATGCGGATTTATCAATAAAATTGCTAGCACATCAGAACATTTCTTATCGAGTAACTAGTGCGCTTTCCTTTATAACTTGGATTAGCTTGAACGCTACTTATTTTATTATTAGATTAGCTTGATTAGCTACTCAGTTTTACTAACACGTTTCGCTAAGATTCTTTTAGAAATCTTTTGTAGCTGTGTAGGATGATCATGGTACTTTTCGTTGTAAAGTTGTTCAACTGCAGAATAATTTTTGTGGCCTAAAATCATCAACATATCAAATGTGTCCTCATTTAAGAATGATATGGTACACGCATGATAGTAAGTGATGTGAGACACAAACTGCGAGATAGCATAAAGAAGCTGATGAAATGAGGACAAAAAATATAAGTACTAGGTGCTAGTTATATCAGAGTAGAAGAGATTACTAACTTGAGAGATTTGAACAGACTGTTTCTTCTGCTTTAGCTTATTTTATTTTGCTGAAGATGATAGAAGTACTAATAATTAAAAAATGATACACAATTGTGCATGTGTGTAGGTGCGGGTATGAGTGTGAGTATAAATGTAGGTGTAGGTGTAGATGTGGTTCCTTTGGATTAGGTTTTCTTATTTGTTTAATTCCAATGTAACCTAATATCATATTGTTTTAAAAAATCATTTGTTGTTTCGTTAGATTGAAACATGTGTTTTATAAAAAAGAGAACATTATTAAAAAAAAATAAAATCATCTTTTTAATTAAATAATCTATCATTTGCTTATATGTCTCATTTTGTTTTATTAGATTAAATTATGTTATATAATTAAATAAAAACTGTTATTTTATACATTTTGTTTTCTATTTTAATGTATTATTTGTATTAACCAATATAATATTTTTAGTTAAAACTCTAAGAGTAATCATGGTGTTACCGGTTTACTAATATACAAAATCATGGGGAAGAGATATTGCATATATGTGATGAAGTGATAAAAAACCGTCAAGTGATGCGGAAAATAAAATATTAAGTTTCTTGAACAAAACTTTCTTTAAATAAAATGATTGAATTTTGTTAGTAAAATGAGAAAGTTTAGTAAAATGATTTTCTATTTTAAACCAAACAATAATTTATTTAGACTAAAAAATAAAATTAAATCAAGCAACTGTATTTATTGAGTGAGACATTGGTTTTTTTTTAACTATTCCTATAAGTAAAAAAATTTCATTTGATTTAACAGAATTTATTAAATCGGACAAAATCTCGTCTTCTTTGCGTAATAGTAATTATTCTTGCATGCAATGATTTACGAATTAAGGTCATTCTACATTGTATTATATTTGATTGTTAATACTTAACACCTTGTGCATGTGTGTAGGTGCAAATGTCCATTTTTAGAATGTCGCAAGTCATAAATATTTTTATTTATGTCCTCTTTAATAAGTTAATATTTAATATAAAATTTCCAATTTTTTAAATTGCTCTTCACTTATGAAATGAAATTGAAATAATTAGATAAAACTTTTCACTTTTATGACGCCAGCAATTGCGATGAATATCCCAGAACTTTAACGAGTGACTGCATTTATTGCTTACTTTCTGAAAAAATATAATCTCATGACTGCATGATTTTATTAAGGACAATTTATTAGAAAATTTAATAAAGCGCAGTCAATATATATAAATTATTATATGGAATTTTATTATTTTTCTGCAGAGCAATGACTGTATCTATAAATAGCACATAGTGTAGTTTAAATACTTTGCCAAGTACATAATAAGTTACGTAGCTCAACGTTTTATTACCGCATATAAAAGCTTTATTATAAAACGGTAATTATTGTGGTATGATATATTAGCTTCATTGTGTGTGAACGAGATAATCAAGGGATTGAAATATTCATTATAAATTATTTATTCTATAAGCAATATAAAGTTTATTAATCTGTGCATGCGTGCGTGCGTGCGTGCGTGCGTGTGTGTGTGTGTGTGTGTGTGTGTGTGTGTGAGATAGAATACGCGAGCCCACACATACAAATCCTGATGTGCCAAAATGTACAAAAGGCAAATGCAAAAGTGAATGCTGCATTAAAGACAACTCTATAGATTTTTGAACTGCAGAAATAGTAAAACGTGGATACATTTAATTCGTTTTTATAAATTCAAGTTATATTTTTGTCGCAAGTATCAAGCACTAAAGTTCTTGGCTTTTCGCTGCGACCATCTAGCTTAATTACATCAGAAATGAGAAAATATACTATAAAGATTTTTGCAAAACATGTTAAAATAAATAGATATACTTACAAAATAATGCAATCTATCAAGCGGCTCAACTAAAATAGTTTGCACACCTTGTATTTTTCTCACTTATGACGTCATCAGTTAAGAGATCTGCTACGAATAGTCAGGAGCTTTCATGAGACACGTAAATTTATTATTTTTGAGAAATATATAATTATTTTTTAAGAAATATACAAATTTGATAAGTGCTGTACTAACTAACGAAACAACGAAATACGATTGTAACTTTGACACATGTTATCAAGGTCATCATTTTTGAATAACATTCAAAAAAATGGTGGTCGTCACTTATTCTTATTTGTTAGAAAACTTATTAACGACAATTATTTCTTAAGCAGCTAACATTGAGCAGACATGCATAATCACGAAAAATCAAAAGTCACAGAACTTGAAAAATAAAACAATGTTCTGAAAGGTCACAATTTTGATTATATAGCAATATAGCAAGAAACCGTTTTTATTAATAACACTTTTATTTTTGACACTAATGCGACAGTTAACATCTTTTGAGTGTTATTGAGAATGATGATCTTGACAACATGTATCATGAGTGAGATAATCGTATCTCGTTGCTTCGTTAATATAACGTACTACTTGTCATCATAAATTTGCATTTAATATTGCATATAATTACGTCAACTGAACTTTATAATAAAATCACATTATAAAATACAACAGTAAACTTAACACGCGTAAGCAACACGAAGCTAATAGTAAACTTTTTTTTAACACAAATTGTATTATGTATAATAAAACACTACTAAATAAGTTGTAATATGCTCGCAAATTTCACTTGTTAATGAGAATTGAGTGTTGAACAGCTATCTATAATGTATTGATGCTGGTACAAAGCGAACTCTGCTGTAGATTAAAAAACGACAGTTGTGAATTAATGTCTAGTTATAATTCACGAAAAGAATAATTGTAAATGTAGTCATGTATCAGATGTAATTGGAGGGAGAGAAAAATATTCTAGAATAAAAAAATAGTATATTTTTAAAGTGTATTTTGAAATTGCGAATTATTACACGTTTATAATGAATGTTAAAAACGAAAAAAGGATGGAGAGAAATAGAAATACCTAGATTCTATTACAATTAATAAATTTACGAATTTGTGTCAAAATTTATCTATTAGATATAACACACCATCGCATGCGCCTTCTCGTAAAAATAAATAAATCAATTATTTGTTACGACCGGTTTTTTTCATTAATTTTAAATCACAGAGCAGGTCCAAAGATTCCTAAAGGCCGAGCCAGAGTGTTTTGGGGCTTAGATGAAACAAATTACAGTGGAGTCGCGGTAGTCGGCCTGGGGAAGCAGGGTCTTGGTATCAATGAACTGGAAGAAATTCACGAAGGAAAGGAGAACGTGCGCTCTGCTGCAGCAGGTAATTCTTACCGATTAAGATGCTGACTAACGAATTCAGAAAAAAAGTAAGAAGGAAGAAACAATTTGATTTCTCGTTATAAAATTCTAACAATTGTAATCAATTATACGTATAGATACACACACACAAACGCGCGCACGCATACATACACTCACATACAAACACATACGTATATATAACGATCATGATTTCATTATTACATAAAACGCTGTGTCTTATTGTAGAATATTATTATTGCAGCGGGTTGTCGTGCTTTAGATGACGTCGATATAAAAGACATCAAACTAGAGACATTAGGCGATGCAGAAGCTGCCGCTGAGGGAGCTGGTCTTTGTACGTGGCTTTATCAAGGATGCAAAAATGAGGAGAAAAAGAAGAAGTTACCAAAGATCTCTTTATACGGAGAGGAAGGAGAGTGAGTACCTTCTTTATATCCTCCTCCAGCGAAAATGCAAGAATAGTTGTATGAAATTGAGTCAATTATTTCGATTATATCGATATAAAGGATAGAATGGCGAGTGGGTATCATCAAAGCTCAGGCACAAAACTGGGCTCGCCAACTCGCGGACACGCCTGCGAATCTGATGACACCTACAATATTCTCACAACAAGTCTTGGAAGTACTAACGCATCTCGGGGTCGACGTTCAGATGCACGATAAAAAGTGGGCCGAGCAGAAAAAAATGGGTTCATTCCTCAGTGTCGCACGAGGAAGCTGTGAATCGCCCAAATTTCTCGAAATCAGCTACAAGGGCGCCGAAAATCCAAACGAAGCTCCGGTGACGTTTGTCGGCAAGGGAGTCACTTTCGACGCCGGTGGTATTAGCCTCAAGGTAAGTCTCGTCATCTTTTAACGATATATAAAAAGGAGAAGAAACTCGACTGAGCAATCGAGTAATCAATTATAGCCGCCATCGGAGATGGACGAAATGCGTGCCGACATGAGCGGTGCCGCTTGCGTAGTCGCCACCATTCGAGCTGCGGCGGAGTTGAAATTGAAAAAAAATATTATCGGGCTGATACCGCTCACGGAAAATTTACCATCGGGACATGCTACGAAGCCGGGCGACCTCGTACAGGCAATGAACGGCAAGACCATCATCGTGGACAATACTGACGCAGAAGGTAGACTGATTCTCGCTGACGCACTTTGCTACGCTCAAGAGTTTAATCCAAGGTACCTGCACACACAACTCGCATATCATACAATATAGCGCTTATACTAAAGACGAATAAAACGACATTGGGACTAGACTGGTATAATAAGCACATTTCACATTGATCGAACACACACTTGTTTGAATTTTCTGATGGAATCTTTATAAATTTGCCAATTTTTCTCTTATACAGGGTGTCCGGTAATTAGCTGCCAAGCCGAAGTGTGAAGGTAGATTGGATTAAGACAAACATTAAAGTCCCGTACCGTTTGGCGAGATTCGCAATAATTATCGAGTTATTAATTACAGAAATCTGAAGTGGGAGCGCGCCGACATGATGATTGGAGAAACATTGCGGCTGCTTAGGCCATAGCGCGGCCCAGTCGATCCAGAAACTGTTGTCGGTGCCCGGCGTGGGAAAGGACAACGCGCCACTATTCGTTGTTTTATCTCGCCGCACCTACATCATGCCGTCAACAGTTGCTGGGTCGACTGGGCCGCGTTGTAACCTGAGAGGCTTCTCCAATTATCCATCTCAGCGCGCGCTCATTTGTCAGATTTCTGTAATTAATAACTCAATAATTATTGCGAATCTCGCAAAACAGTATGGGACTTTTATGTTTGTCTTAAATCCAATCTATCTTCATACTTCGGCTTGGCAGCTAATTACCGGATACCCTATATACTTGACGAATAAGAGTCAAAATATAAATCGTATTAACTGTTAGAGAGCGAGATGCTCGAAAGCAATACGATCACTGTGTGCAGCGCGGATCTAGTTGTTACGATGCTATGGTGGTTTTTCCGCACGTTATGATGTTAATATAATAATGAAAAAATTATTCACAGACAACGATGAACGTTCGACGCGTCAGGCGCCATTAGGCGTTGCCTGCTCATGATGAAAACTTTCCTCATACGTTCACTCTAAGGATTAAAAGTTTTAAAGCATTATATTGTTATTGTGTGTATATTATTAATGTAGACATAAGTTAGTTGGTGGATTGCCCTAGATTTTATAAACTAATGATTTTCCAAACAAATAGATTTATCTTGGATATTGCTACGCTGACTGGTGCTATAAGAGTTACACTATCAAACGCCGCAACTGGAGTATTCACCAACGACAGTAATCTTTATGAAACTTTGAGAAACGCCGGTACGATAACTGGCGATCGAGTATGGAAACTTCCTCTGTGGCAACATTTCACCGATGAAGTAACGAGTAAGAGATATTTTTCAATCCTTGACTACTCGTGCTGTTAAATTTACCGTAATAATATAGTCACGAATAAAATTACTTCTTGCCTTCCCAATAAAGTTCACTATTTTTTGGATTTGTGTGATAAAGTGGTGCTGGAATCGTCTGGAATTATCTGAATATTAACGTTCAGTCTGCAAATTATTCTTCGTATTATTTACACGAAATCACAATAGTTCTTAAAAAATGGAGCTACGTACGTTAATAAATATAAAGATTGAAAGACTAATATTTATTAGGAGAACTATGAAATATTTTTATTTCTATCATCATTTTTGTCCTACTACTGTAAGTTACAATAATTTTCAGAGAAAGTCAAGGGTGCTGATTTAAATAACGTCGCTAAGAGCAAGGGCGGTGGCTCTTGCACTGCTGCTGCTTTTTTGAGAGAATTCGTCGGCAAGGATATACCGTGGATGCATCTTGATATAGCAAGCGTCATGGGTCCCGCTTACGATGAATTGCCGTATATATCAGCTGGAATGACTGGCCGCCCAACCCGTACACTTATACAATTTTTACAGGCACTGTGTTAGGATTTACGAAGATAACATACTTCGTAGATTTGTATGCGTGCGTGCGTGCGTGCGTGCGTGCGTGCGTGCGTGTTTTTAACACAGAAAAGTATGTATATAACTATACATATTAAACACGTAGATGAATCGTGCCTAGTACGGAGAGGATTATATTAAATAGTCTATATAAATACGGCTTAGAACGACGTTTATCAACGTTGATGAACATATAAATGTCTGCTACGACTTTGTAGCAACGTTTTAATAATTTGATTATCGCTATATAATTCAGTTGCAAATCCCAGCTCGACATTATCGATATCCAGTATAATAATATTTAATATCGCGATGATATCAAACCAACTCTTACTCTACTTGAATGTGCGGAGTAATTAGTAAACTAAAGCCCAAGTGAATATATTTTGTGCTGTGTCGATTTTACGTAACTTTTCAATTGGATTATTTAAAGTGTTAAAATAAAAGTATTTGTTTTGTTTTAGAACATATTTTGTACGCTGCCCATTCTTCTTGACAATAATAATAATTCTTGTATGTTTATATATAAGTACCATAAGACATACTTTATTTTATACACAATAAACACCAAAGCTACACTTTTAGGCATATATTAAACAAAAGCTACATTCCTATGGGTATGTGTGTATATATATATATGTGTGTGTATATATATATATATATCTCACGTATATATATATATATATAAATCAATATGTTAAAGTAAAATACATCCTTTAAACTTGTATTTCCTACAAAAGAAGAAAAGAACAAAATAAGAAAATGAAATAAGAAAGTTAACAACCAAATGTTAATAATAAAAATCCTGCAAAACTAGCGATATTAAAATATTGAACTACCAATTGGAAGCAAAAGAGAAAAAAGAGGTAGGCGGGAACGTGTCAAATATATATGCAATGTTTTATACACGAACACCAAAAGCTAACTTCTCATACTTTTTCAATGATAAGAAATTCCGAAAAAAAGCAAAATCCCAAAAGACAATGTATGGTTTCATTGCAACAAGTTTCAATAAATTGTATATTTCATATCTTCTGTTACTTAGTTTAAAATATTTTTAATCCTTCCTTTGCAAAATATCAGGAGTTTCAGGTCGTTGCTCTCCCTAAAAAAGTGAACTGAAATGTTCACGAAACGTCGGAAATAAATCCACAGCGGACGTGACAATCTGAGATAACTATTATCTCAAACTTCAAGCCTCCTGAAGACTCCAAAGACAAGCAGAACTCTATATAGGAATAAAATGCTTGGCAAAAGTAGAAAAAGAGAATAATTAAAAAAATATTGTTTTTATTAGCTTTACCTTTGCATTTCTCTATATTTATTTCAGTGGAAATATACATAGCGAATATATCCACGGAAATAACAATGTTCTTGTTAAAAAAGATATTGCACAATCATGTGTGAATGCAGATTAAAAAAAAAAAAGTTGAAAAGATAAGGTTTAAGCCTGCAACAACAAAGTGTTCTACCACAATAGTCAATCGTGTCTTATGCTCTCATTGGTGACCATCTCAGCGAGTAATCTGATCTTATAAATTCGATCTTATCCTATACATAGGTGGAACATGGGAAATTTTAAATTTATTTTTCTCGCGAATATATCAGAATCACGTCGAGTGATTTTACCTTCGATTAGTAAAAGAGTAGTAGTACTATAACCAGTATTTTTTATTTAGATGATTCAACAATTAGTTGGATGAGAGAGAGAGAGAGAAGATAAAATATGTAAATTCATCTTAGCATTTTGTCCTGGAAAATTCAATGGCCATTTGACATGTAGTGTTAATGCAAATGTCTACGATGTAAAAACATATATTTCAATATTTTACACATCTGCAGCAATGCATAAACTAAGCTTTCTGTGAACGATATTTTGGATAATTTTGTAAAAATAACACTTCTATTTAAGATACAAATAAAGGTAATACATATGTGTATATGTAAGTGCGTGTTCCTTTTCATATATATATTGTTTATATATTCATTGTTTATATATTTATATTACATTCATGTATATTTATATTATCTAGGTAAAAATAAATTGTTGACAGAATTTTATCTACATAATTATCCGTATAATTTCATCTAGATAATAGCAAACAGTACTTATAGGAAGCTCTTAAGGACGTTTTCAGCTATTTGAGTTATATGCAAGAATGTTCGTTCATGAATTTCAATACAACTTTCAAAAATCTCATGGATTTAATGGATAAATTATACAAGTTAAAATAAAACATAAAGACGAGAAATATTGCTAATAAAAAAAGTCCTACTCTTTCATTTGGGCCAAAAATTTGGGGAAACATTTCGGAGGAGATAGTCAGGAAAGAAATGAAAGAACGCATCGATATATAGTAGTATTGATAGTATAGTAGTCGGTATAAACTTTTGAAAAAAGGAAGCGGATGCACGCGATTAGGGATGAATTCCCGAGGATATTCGGGGCATCGATCCTTGGACGCGCAAGCGCCGACCTTTACGAATCTCACCTACTTCTATCGGTCATCGGTGAATCCGTTCGTACAGCGAACCAAGTAACGCGGTCGTCTATTTTCGTTTATCCGGACAGAGCTACTTCACGCTGGTAGGACTGGTGCCAGTCGAGGTAAGGGATCACTTCATTCGCGAAACGATCCAACTTCTAATTCCACGAGGTGTTTGTAGTCATCAGATAGAAGAATTCAGTCCGACGTTTGGGCCGCCTGCGATGTAAGATTCTTTAAGAAAATTTATGAGATTGTTGTGACGAAACGCGACGCAGATTCGTACCTTTGATATTTAATTATTTATTATATATTTAATTATTGAAGATATGAATCGTTGACGGTATAAATGTTTGTTCATTGCTATATGAAGATGAATAATAATCTTTCTTCAACTAATATTTATTCTTTCGTCGCAACTTTATGGTAATTTGACAATGTTTCTTCGCTTTGAATAGATAAGCGAACGTAAAGGAAAGTTCAATGTCAGCCCTTCTAGATGTATGTGGAAATGATACCGGTTCGCCATCGATATCGAAAGCTGAAGACAATCTGTCCAATAGTGACGGGCCTTTGATTAAGGGTTTTATTCGTCAAAATAGTCGCAGTAGCGTACGTATGAGGTACCGATGGCGTTATTTCGTTATATGTTATCAAGTAATTATTAACAAAAATTAACATTAGTGATCGTTATCAAATTTAAGGAATAACGCGAATAAATCAAATGGCTATCTTCATTAACTAATAATTTTACAAAATAGATAAATGTTTAAGAACGGTACTTGTGTTATTATTATTCTGCCCCTCTCGCTTTCCACAAAGCAATAGTTGACCGCTGGTTGGAATTAATCAAATCCAATCTGTTGTAATCTTGACTGAATCGAATTAAGATAATTAATTATTTATTAATAGATAAATATATAATTTCTAATATCAACGCTATTAATATAGGACAATTGGTTCGTCGCACGGCATGTCTTCAACGAGTGAAAAAATCACGAAGAGACGTTACTGCTTGTGGACATTGACTCTGATCTTAGCAATAATTGGTGTCTGCAACCTTTTCTTGAATATCACTGTCATCGCAGTTCTACGCATCAGTCAAGGAATGGAGGCTATGGAAGTAATTCCAGATGAAAATCTCGTCAAGTTCTACGGAAGAACTGATTTGGACAAGGTATAGTATTAAGTACATGGTGTCCCCAGTGCTCCCGATCCCTGGTCCCCGGTCCCCAGTCCCGTGTGTAGTGTGAAGTGTCTGACATAACTTGTACATTCGTTCGCGTGCAGATAGGACTCATTAAACTGAACGAAAAATGTCCTGTATATCCTGATAATGCCGGATTTTGCAAAGCATTACGCTATATACTTTATATACAAGCAAAGAACTCTCAAGAATGTTTGAAACAACGTACCTTTTCCAATCCCTGATTGACTGATTATATCGGTTGTATTTCGGCATCGGCGTCGATCTGATATGTAATGTTTCTTCCCATTATATCTCCCATGTTCTCAGGTATCGTTACAATCTGGTATTTGTCAGAGTTATGGCGATGAATCGATGGAAATATCCGGCGATGAGGCCGGCGTGCGCGTCGACGTAAAAAGTCGACGCACCCACGAACATCCGCGGTCCAAATTGGGTGTCCTACCGAACGGCACGACAATGTCACAGGTGGAATCATTCGAAGTGAAGGATCCGCGAACCGGTGTGACTTACTTTACCACCGATTTTCCTAATTTTGGCTTGCCGAGCGGCGTCAAAAAGATCGACGTCAAAATCGCAGAGACACATCGAATTACATCGCCGGTTAACGAAAGCCTGACAATTAACTCCGACAATCAGATCTCCTTGCACGGGGCGGAGGGTGTGCGGATGGAAAGCAAAGACATCGTCTGGAGCGCCGATGTGGATGTCTTTCTCAAGAGTGTCAACGGCAGCATCATGCTAGATGCTAAGGACGGCGTTTCCATAGACGTGGAGAACATCCCTGTAGCGCCTATGTTTCTGCAGAATCCCGCTACGAGCCACGAACAATACAAAGTCTGCGTGTGTATGCCGCAAGGCAAGCTCTTCAAGGTACCCGTCCGGCCGGGCACTGGTTCCCGCATGATCAATTGTGCACGAGTCGTTCGAACCCCGGAGAATGATCCTTGTCTGCATTAGATTGATGAAAACTGATGTTTCCTATACGCGAGACTTTACTGTTACGGACTTAAATGATACTACGCATCACTGCCAAAAAGAAAAGATAAGAAAAGAAGGGAAAACAAAGAAACCGCACACCGTACACTTGAAGTGCGGACACTCGCAATCTAATATACTTATCGTTACTAGAGAGAACATTATAAATAATACTTTCTCGAGGTACATGGAGAAAGTCGATTTCCACAGAGTATCGGTCACATATTAATTTGTTAATATTTAAGAAAAGCAAACATGTCTTTTGACGAAAAGATAGTTTATGTAAGTGTAGAGTTCTATATAAGAACCTGTGTATCAATTCATATAAAACAACTTTATTTTACAATTTCACTCTTCACTAAACCACTCGTGTATGTCTCTAGTACTATGTCTCTAGAGTATCATGTCCCCCTTATCGGAAAAGAATTAAAAATTATCGAGTTCATTCTAAAAGGAAAGGGTGGCTAATGATGGCCTTCTTGCATGTTTTCTGAAAATATTAAAATGAAATGCAATCCAAAGAATCTTTTTAAATAAACACGTTTAAAGATGCAAACTAAAAGAGATAATTAATATTACCGGTAAGCGCGCACGCGCTCTCATAAGAGCGTTTTCTAGTAATTCCTCAATTAAAATAAATGTGAAAGCATTCTTAGCAAAAGACAAAAATGACTCATATGTCAGTCACGATAGCTCATGCTTTAGGTTTTCATTTTTATTCACTGTGTGCTTGCTCTTTGTATGCTCTGTACTTTTATCAAATATGATTACATTTTGACGTTTAATACCAGCAGATACTGATATACAAACAAGCACAAACTTAATCTTACTTTATTAGAGAGAAAAAAAACTTAATTCGTGATCAAAAGCGCCGAATATCCAACATATTTTACTTTGCTCAAAGATTTTGATTCTTAACGAATAATGTATCTATTTGCATTCATTCTATGGTTAATCTTTCTGTTCGTATAAACATCAAGGTACATGTAAGACACTATCTAACACAATCGGTCTCTGAATTTTCTCTTGTATATAATATAAAAAAGGACAAAACGCAAAGCGAAGCTGTTCGGAAGTTAAATAACTTTGATGCGAAGTCTCGTATAAATGGAAAAAAAAAGAAAAAGAAAAAAAAATGTTTAGAAATACGACAAGTTATAATCTTTGATCTATATGGAGTATAATCTTTGGTCTATATGGAGTATATGGGGTATAGACAATCTATCCTTTATATTTACGAATATGCAAGATTTATTACTAACATATAGCAAGTTTTAAATATCATGTACGACGCATCTTTAATTTCACATTCGAATTATATACTGTGTCAACATCAACAGCATGCAAATATCTAGTACCAAATTAGCCACGGCAACTTGTTTCCCATTAAATCTTATGTGCAAATATTCAATACATTATATATTTTCAAGAAATAGCTGGAGAATAATACCCCGTTATGAAAAACAGGAAAATTTCCTCTTACTTTTCACAAGAAATGCGTCGGTTCGTAAATCTACACGCTCTCAGTAATCATCTCCTCGTTACTTTCATCCATATCTTCTTGCTGCTCTTGCTCCGTAGGTGGCTCGTATGCTTTGTCCAATGGACTTGCTACAACACCACCCGCCCATACGCTCATTTCCACCGCTAATTTATTAGAACCTTCCAACAATGGTCTATAACCTCCATGAGCTAACACACGTAGCAAGGTCTGCGCGGTGAGACACACGAGATCTTGTTGTTCCAACGTCATAGCGGTGTGCACACGTATATTGCCACCTTCGCACGGATCCGAAATTCCTAAGAACATGTACCATCTATTTAATTCAAATTTTACTTTAGAATGAATAAGTTTCTTTGTGTACAGTATAATTTCGCAGAACCCATCGTTTCTATATGACATATAGAATTAATCTTACAAAATATTTAATTCACTTAACGTACCATTACATTTACTCAATATCGTACATTTGACAAAAATTTCTTAAATAGGAAGCAAAATAAAAGTTTCACAAGTTCAAAACAAACATTGATCTGTTGTACCTTCTAAATTGTTAATTCGAGCGAATATAATAAATAGAATACCTGCGGATCCTGGAAGGAACAATCCGGAAGCGAGTAACTGCAGTACTCTCTTGTATGCCTGGTTTATTGGCAACGCTTGTCTGCTGGGATTGTTCATTATAGCATTATGTGCCAATAGATCCAGCATCCATGGGGATAACGGCTCCAAGCCCTCATATCTGCTTCTAAGATCGCGAAGTAGTCGAATTAGAACTTTGATGCTAGAATGATGGGCGTTCTCTTCAAACCAACGAGAATGTCTGATAGCGGCAAGATGTCCTACAAAAAGAAAAATACTTTTACATTTTTTACACCTGTTGAAATCAATCAAATGTCCAGGAATGTGCAGCTAAAGTTTCACTCCACCTTGGCAAATTTTAACGTCCAAGTGTTGATCAGACTCTAGCTTGCGTAGGTTTTGATGCAGCGTGGTTATTAATACACGCACAGTAGCTTCATTATTAGCAATATCGAATCCATGCTCCGTTTGAATTACTCTAAATATCTCCTTAGGATTTACAGTTTTCAAATCATTGTTGACCTTGTTTCCGAGAGCCTCCACTGCCGTTTTAGTCGGTAGAGTTTTAAGAATAACGACGATATCAGCGATATTGTGACCTTTTATCATTGTTCCCTTTTTGAAACTACCAACTTGTCTTACTTCTTCTAATTGCTGTTGAGTGTGTATATATGTAATTCAGATGTATATATGTGTGAGTGTATGTGCATGTGTAAGTATAGACATAAAATTTATAACATATATTTCTTCATTTATAATACAATATCTAGGATATAATATAGAAGAATTAAAGAAAGATGTACAAGAAAAATTATAGAATTTTCTAGCAAATTATTACATTGCAATTTATGGAAAAGTCTTAGATTTAAAAATATAAAATGAGAATATCCCTTCTATGCCTGATAATAGCTAATATATTTGCGTAATGAAATACAACATGTACTTACGCAAGCCTCAAAAGTTCCAGGTGCGACAATCAGATTGTCAAGTACACTTTGTAACTTGGTCACAAGATTCAAAATTGAAGTTTGTTCTTTCGGCGTAGGACACATATCAGTATTTTTCTTTAAGAGAGCTGTTTGAAAGTCTGACTCATCCGGAACAGGCTTAACACGTGGGAAAGCAGCTTCGCATAGTGTGTAATCAAATGGGTGGCGAGGTAAGAATTGCTTTCTTGGGAATCCCATTCCACGTCCCATGCCACCCCGACCACCTCTGATCATTCCTCCACGACCTCCTCGCACCATATTATTTCTACAATGACAAATATTAACACATATATAGAGTTGAATAAATTAACATACTATTTTCAATCAAATTGAGGTTAAAGGACCTATAAAATTAACTTAGCCAAATTAGATTATTTGGATATAGAAACAATAATTTAATTAAAGTGAAGCCAAAATTAAATCAAGTTTTTTAAATTAAAAGTTAATTATTCGATGCAATAATGATAGTTTCACATTGATATTAATTTTTGGATCATATGTTAAATTTGTATGAAATAATTTATATGAAAGATATTTAAACAAAAAGACTATCTTGTGCTTGTGACTAAGATACAAAACCAGATTATTGATGCTTAAAGAAAAGAAGAAAAATGTTAGACATTATTTTCCTTGTTCTATATCATAAGAAACCCACAATAGTTGTAATATTGACAAATTATATTTAACTTGTATAAAACATACTTAACAGTTAACAGTAATACATTTTAAAATAACTTATATAAAATGAAACTGAACCAACTTTTATGTTAAATGTAAAAAGCAAACCAACAGACATTATCAGTTAAGAAAACTTTTGTTTATAAATAGATCACATCATAAAATAATATAGATTATGTACAAATTATATATCAGAAGATTGATGTAATAATGATAATTCTAAGTAGAATACATGTATACATTACAAATTATTAATATAAAGTGTTCCTATCTTTCATGTAATATATCAATACCTTGTAAGAAGAATAGCATATAAAAATCAATATGATGCCTATGAACCGAACAAATCAAGACATATTTATTCATATAAATATGTAAATTGACCCATTTTCAGCCTAAACATTACACTGATATATCTATACAAACTGCACAACTAATAACATACTTACCCAAAAGGTGAAAATTGGAAAGACGTGGTGATGATTTATTGATAACTGCAAAAAGAACACGATAGGAATAGCATCCAACACAATATTGTTAGACGGGACGGACCCGTTTTCTACGCAAGCGCACTGAGTTGATTGAGCATACGATCAGAGAGAAGAATGAGAGCGGCCACCGGCCGTATTTCGGGGGATACGGCCAGGCGCATTTTAGATACGCCATCTGACCAAAATGCGCCTAAACTACATCCGCTAGGCGCACTTTCGCGGTGATAAAAGTAAAATGCGCTTAGGTTCGTGTCCGTACTACTTCCATGCAATGGATAGTAGATTAGAAAAAGACAGACGACAGACAATCGTTCCGTCTTTGTCTCACTACTGAGCGGCGCGCGGCAGTAAACACGAGGCGAGGTAGCGGCGATCTTATCGCTAAGCGAACATCTCTCCGCTTTTCTTTCATCTTTCACGCTCCAGAGACATCAAAAGACGCGGTAGCGTCTCGTGTCAAGGGAACGTGCGAAGCGAGGAATTATTTTTCACGCACGCGAGGTAGCACATGGGAGACTAGACGAGCGTCGATATATTCTATTTCTTTCCCGTCTAGCTTATTGACTGCGTGAGCCGCGAGATTTTTCTCGCTACTCTTATACCTCGCTCTTTCTCTCTCTCGCTCGTTCTTTCTTCTCTCGCGCACTTGCTCGCTCTTCCTTTCTTTCGTGTTCTTACGGCTTGATTAAATATATTAATTACATGACAATATATATATAAATAAATGACACATATATAGTGTATATGTATATAAAGAATATTTAGTATTAATGCACAAATAAAGAAGAGAGAATTATAATGAGAGACGAAAAGTTAATAGAAATCCACTCTTAGCCAATATATACATCTTTTAAAAATGATTTGTTATTAAAGTATATGACAGGATAATTTATTTATGCTAATAAATTTAAATTAAAAATTAAATGAAATGTTATTTGTTTTGTAAAAGATATTCCATTGTTACATTTTTCTTTTCGTAGCAAAAATAAATTTAGTCTAGTAAAAAAAGAAATTAGTTTTATTATCATATTTCAATTACGACTTTATTATTTAATTTTACGAATAGATAACGTGCATATTGTTGCTCAACGGAAACCGCGAGAAAATGGTGATCTCCGTCAAAAAATAAATGCAAACTTTTTAATAATATAATAATTTTTTTACGTAAGTGTTTGTTTTTATAGTATGACCTGTTGAATTTTATTAATTATTAATTCAGCATGTTATAGTATAAAAAATATATTTTAATATAAAAATTAATGTAATATTAATTGTTTGCATTTGCAAGAAATATGGATAGGGCAGGATAGGTTGCAATGATACATAGGAAGAAAAATGATAGATGGATAAATAGATAGATAGATAGATAGATAGATATAGAGATAGATATAGATGGATAAATAGATAGACAGATAGATAGATAGATGGATAGATAGATATAGAGAAATAGATAGATAGATAGTTAGATAGTATAGAAAAAAAGATAAATAGAAATATAATTATCATTATTATTATTATTAATGTTTTCAGTTTCAAGAGAACATTCGCTTAAACATAAGTCTTACTTAGGTCCAGTTTCACGACTTATATTATATTAACCGGAATATATTATACGACTTATATTATATTAACCGGAATATATTATATGATTTATATTATTTTAACCGGAATATAATTCGTTAATATTAGAAGTACCGGGCGGTTATTTCTGATCGTTTCTATTTTTTAGATTAATATCCTGTTTCTTTAAGATTACAGGATTTTTGTTTTGAGGGTTTGTTTAATGTGATGTTTGTAAAGAATGTATATAAATTTCTACATATAAGATTAAAAATATGAAAAATATTGCAGTGAAAGCAAGGAGGTTCCACGGTGCGCACGATATCTCAATAACTATTTGACCAATCGACTTGCAACTTGGCAGCATTATAAAATAGACTTCTCTTTACCGTTTTAACTACAATTAACCAAATTCATTAATAATTAATATTTGTTATTAAACTTCACCGAGAAGCCAGAAATAGACGATTTTTGTTCTAAATGCTACTATTTTATTATTTGTGTTCCGATTGTAGTTCAGACAATAGCTATACTTATAGAAAATAAAAAGCTACTTTAAATAATTGTGTAAAATTAAATCACACACATTTAGAAATTCCTTGGAATCGTCTATTTGCAACCTCTTTGCTTTTACTGTAATATTTTATATATTTTTAACCTTACATACTTGTAGAAAAATGTATATATATTCTTCAAACATCATTAAGCAAACTCTCAAAACCCGTAATCTTTTAATCATGTGATCTTTTTCGCTTCCGCAAAAAAAATTAACGAAATATACGTATCTTTTGTCGGGTTCAATAAGACAACTCTTCAAAAGCCTATCTCAACAAAATTACATAATCGCATCATTGATATGCACAAGGAAATCAACCAATCATAATCCGTACAAGCGTGCCTTTCATATTAGACATATTTTACATTTAATTAATCTGTTTCCTTCTCTAGAACAAATAATCATCAAAGGTCAAGATAACGTCAAAATTATTTTAACTTAATTTTGACATCATCTTCACTTTTATATAATTATTTGTTCTACTTCAGTTAAGCATATGAACAATATGACTATGCAAGTTTGTCTCAATAAGTCTTAAACTCCGGTTAAAATAAATTATGAAACTAAATCTTAGCGTTTTTCAATCATCGGCATCTTTCACGATGTTACGATTATAAATATCATCTATATAACCAATTGTAACCTACACAATGGAACGCTCTTCGAACCGATTGAAATTGCTCATATCAATTATCAATGATATATGGCCTTTCATTACATTCTCTAAGTTTCAATTGTTAATTGAACAATTCCTTTCACAAGTCAAAGATTAACATGCTGATTTGAAACATAATGCAAAAAGCTCGAAAATAAATGCGAAGCAGAGAAGAGATTAACAATGAATGATTATTATTTAATATGCAACTTACATTAACATGGAATGTCTAATTGACTTAATGTCTCAAAGCTACTGAATATGAATTTCTGCTCAAATCTCTTCCTTTCTGTAGGAGGTTTTTGGCTGTTTCGGTTACTTTCCTCTACATTTATATTGATGAGTTGAAGCACTTGTTTCTACGAGATGTTTAAAATTCGGCTGACTTTACGAGTGTTAACACTCGTAACTGGACCTAACAAGGAGATGACGCAACCTGTTTCATCGATTTCAACACGAGTCATAGCACACTCTATAGCTATGATGCCGTGTATAAACGCCCTAACATAATATGCGTGAATGCATCTTTGTTTACGAGTAATTTACAGTTAAAGTTTGGCTCGCGGAGCCGTGCCACACATAGGGCACAAGTTACGACACTCTTTCACGAAGCTGGCGTGGCTGAGCAGACAGAGGCTCCCAGACAGACAGACCCAGAGGCTGCGAACACTTTTGCGCCGCCGACGGCGTTCGAGTCCCGCCGACGACTGGGTTCGTTTTTTTTCGTATGTAAAGACGTGTAATAAATATTTTTATATTGTTCTTATGTATAATTCCTTTTTTTGTTTCTACGCTATTAATCAAAGCTAATTAGGAGAGTCAGGTCTTTCAAATATGAACACAACTTTTTTATTAATTACAATAAAATGTTTTTGTCCGTATCAAAACACATACACACACATACATAAGACAAATATAAGGCACACAAATCAAAGTTACGTATTATAAAATGTGGTCATGCTGTCGCAACTCTGCGGATGGAATGCCGTATAAAAGCATGTAAAACATAATAGTTTTTTGCACCAACTGCACGCAATGACCGCATAATTTTTTGCACAAATACACTTTTGACTATGTATAGTTGGTGGAAAACATATTTGATTGACGTTGTAAAATACCTCGCGACTGTCAACAAAACTGGACGGAAATTGTATCAGGACATCTGCAAATATGAATTCAATATAATTGATATTGTATACAAGGCCAATAACAATACGTACAAATATATCTTTCCATTGCTCACACATTCAATATATTTACCTCGAAGATATTCTATTGCGTCCATCAACTCTTCTTTCGTAATATCACATTTTGCTAGATTTTGCACATAGCTGATCGTTGCTACATCTACAAACGTGGTTTCCATTTTTAACACGAGTTTTTCACTGTTCACGTTACGAAGACTGCCCAGAGAATGAAGCGAGCACGTCACAAAACACGAGAATCCCTCTGCGAGAAGGGGAAAGGGAAGAGGGTTCCTTTCCACTTGTAACGGTTCTAACTCGGGTTTCTCTCACACAAAATAATCACTGTCTGGCCATTTCTTTCCCATACCATACGAAATATTTATGCGAAATAGATTTACACGAAAAAAATATTTTATTGTAATTAATAAAAAAGTTGTGTTCATTTCTGAAAGACCTGACTCTCCTAATTAGCCTTGATTAATAGCGTAGAAACAAAAAAAGGAATTATACATAAGAACAATATAAAAATATTTATTACACGTCTTTACATACGAAAAAAAACGATCCAGTCGTCGGCGGGACTCGAACGCCGTCGGCGGCGCAAAAGTGTTTGCGGCCTCTGGGTCTGTCTGTCTGGGAGCCTCTGTCTGCTCAGCCACGCCAGCTTCGTGAAAGAGTGTCGTAACTTGTGCCCTATGTGTGGCACGGCTCCGCGAGCCAAACTTTAACTGCAAATTACTCGTAAACAAAGACGCATTCACGCATATTATGTTAGGGTGTTTATACACGGCATCATAGCTATCGAGTGTGCTATGACTCGTGTTGAAATCGATGAAACAGGTTGCGTCATCTCCTTGTAAGTAAGACTTACGTTTAAGCGAATGTTCTCTTGAAACTGAAAACATTAATAATAATAATAATGATAATTATATTTCTATTTATCTTTTTTTCTATACTATCTAACTATCTATCTATCTATTTCTCTATATCTATCTATCCATCTATCTATCTATCTGTTTATCTATTTATCCATCTATATCTATCTCTATATCTATCTATCTATCTATCTATTTATCCATCTATCTTTTTTCTTCCTATGTATCATTGCAACCTATCCTGTTCTATCCATATTTCTTGCAAATGCAAACAATTAATATTACATTAA